TCCAGAACAGGGCCAGTTGAGTGTTCACATGACCTGATAGTACCTTCTGCCTGTGGAGGATCTCCGTGGGACAAATGACATAATTTTCTAAGATTTTTCACAAAACAAGTACTAGAGGAGGCACAAACAAAAAATCCCCCCCAAAACATACAAAACCCCCCCCCAACCCAACCTCCCCCCAAAACAAAGAATGAATCAAAACCCAGAAGAGAATAAAATGTGAGGCACTTACTACAAATCTATGAAATAATTTCTGATCAGAAATTTCATTCTGCCCATCAATTTCAGAATTAGATTTTTAGCTAAAGCCTACAAACAGAGCATGTTGCATTTCACTTTGAAAGAAAATACAGTTGTTTCTACCTCAGAACTAAAAAGATATGTAGTGATTACACAGCAACCTTAAGCACTGGCAGCTCCAGTGCCATCTCTAGCACGATGATTCCTTTAGCTTTACTCTGAGCAGAATTTCAATAATTCACTTGTACAGACCTGAGTTTGACATCCAAGAAAAAGGCCTAGTAGCTTTAGCCTACAGAAGGAACCAGACAAAAGGATTTGGACATTTCCTCATGTTTTTTACATCACCCTAGGCTCAGAATAGAAGGTTAGAGGCAATGCATCACAGACACTTAAAAAAAAACTAAAAGAAAAGCAAATCAACCAAAAAAACCCCCGAACAACCAAAAAAAACCCACAAACCCCAATCTAAATTGCTTGAAGTCTGGACAATAGAAACAACTATAGAAGAGACATTCTGATTTAACTTCATTTAAATATAAAAGTACATGGGCAACAGCTGATATTTTTACTTTCATATAGCAATTAGAAGAGTTTAAAAAAAAAACTATTTTGGAGTTTGTACTTGGGAAAAAAAAAAAAAGTAAGAGCTAATGGTTTCCAGCTGTTTCACTAGGAAAAGTTAAATACCATATCTTTCTTTATAGTTTTTTATTCTTTTATTGTTTCAAAGAAATAGTTTTCTCTTTCACTCACTTGAGATGAATGTTTCTCTACTCTGTATCTCTCTTTCTTTTTGAGAAAAGGAGAAGCTTTTTTCATCCTTCTGAATATGACCCATCCTAGCTGGATCTAATAATGACACTCTGGCTGGGCCACAGACCCAGGGAATAGTCCAACATGTTAGAGCAATTGTTTTGAATGAATGCATTAGGCCTACTTTGAATCCTGCAAAAGCACCTTCAAACTAAGAACAGGAAATGGCGATAGAGTTCAGTCTCACTTGTTATTCCAGTCTGTGAATGAGTGAGTTGCTTCAGTAAGGCTTTACACCACTTGTTTTACAGAGGTCAGATTTTCAGACATTAGCTTGATCTTAGGTGTGAGTTTTGAGGTTTCTTTTGTTCCTATTCCAGTATTTGATTACTTTTCAGAGACCAGTTGGGATCATGACAACTTGTGGAAATGCAAGAGCACACAAATCAGAAATAACAAACTTAAAACAGTGTGTTTCCAGCACCTGAAGCGGCAGTGTCATGAGAAGCAGAATAGGCTGACCTTTTACATTGCACTCCAGGCCTGAAGAGTAAACCCCTCAGGCTGTTTAATTGTTTTGTTAATTTTTCTCCGCTGTATTTTACATTTTGGAATTGTTTTTTCCGGTGGGCTCTCATGAAGTATGATTCCTGATGCCCATTGAATGAAATCAGCTTGTGGAATGCTGACTAATAGCAACAAAATTCTGTGTCAGATAAAGGTAGCGCTTTTATCACAGTTCCTGCTTTTCTGCCAGGAGAATTCAGGTTGTTTGGGATGGGAACCCCAACAGATATTATTCCTCGTCCTATCACTACATGGCCTTGTCAAAAGTCCCTCTCTATCTTTCTTGTAGGTCCCGTTTAGGTACCACATAGCACATTCTTTGAGAAGGATAAAAGCAATATATCAGATTATTAGGATTTAGGGGGGTTACCTTTGATGTGTTTTTCAACTGGTACACACTATTTCTCTCCTCACATTTGATCATGCCATAGCTCCTTAAAAATTAGCCAAGCAAGTGGGCAGATTAATTTGCCTACTTGCATATTAATTAATACTGCAGATTAATTTGCCATAGTCTTGGTATGGCTGCTCTGATGGCAACTGGGAGGTCAGGTGACAATTCTTGGGCTTAGCTGAGTAGGTCTTACCTGTGTGTGCCACTGAAACTCTGGGTAATAGTGAGAGTGTTTTAGGTTGCACTGTTAGTTTATTTCTCTGATCATTTGCTAAGATAAAGTGTCAGAAAGTCAAAACAGGTGGTGGATTAATTTTCTGTATTCTGTTAACATAGCATAAAGTGCACATGCATTTAGTTCACTAAGCACTTGTCTGGCGGGAGCAGAACAGAACAGTTGGTGGAAACATCTGATTTTTACACCTTGAGCCAGAAGAGCCTGCAAGGACTGTGAGTGGAATGCACTCCAGTGCAACACGGTGGCACAAAACTTGGATAATTACTCACAGATGATCTGCCTTCAGACCAAGGACTTCCAAACCTGGGCCAGAATTCTGTTACTGTATCACTGCATCTGCTGGTTGCCTTTTTCCTCCTTTTTGCCTCCTGAACACTGATGCCACTGTGTAGGAAAAAAATTGTTTGACGACTCATCTAAAATGACAGCACAAGCTACAAGCCATAAAGGATGACTTAGCTCAGTGCGTTCCCAGTCACTTTGCTGTTTTGCTGCTCCATTCACATAAAGGCAGGTGTGCTCAGCAAACTCCTTCCTTCACTTGGTGAAAGGAATGACTTTTTAGAAGTCAGTCCCTTGCTATGAACAGCAATGACACCTATGAGTGCTGCCAGCTGGTGACATTTGCTCGTTTTAAGTCAGAAAGTAACATAAGTGCTTAACCCTGAACTAAAAAAAAAGTGTCCTGATTTACAGAGCTGACTAGCCTACAAGATTCTGTGGTGCTCTAGGAGTACTCTGTGACACAATTCCTGCTGAAAAGTTATAAATGTCAAATATCAGAATGGTCTATTTTTGGTTTTGTGTTGTTGTGGGGTTTTTTACCATTTGACTGGTAGAAAGTGATACAATTTGGCTTCCATCAAGAGACCATTACTGTTCGTGCACATCATCTCCTAACTACTGCTACCCTCAGTGCCATATTTATTAGTAAATGGTTAGTAATTACCCACACTATGGTTTTTAGAGGTGTGAGTCATGTGTGGCTTTTACTGTGCCAGGATGCCTCCACTTACCAAAATGTATGCACCAGGCAGGTGCCACCTGCAGGTGACCTGTCAGTTCACTTGAAATGCTCTAATTGCTGTGACATATTAAATATAACCCAAGGTCTCAAACCATGAGGGCCATCTGTTCTATGTCAGATCTGGGGTTTTTTTTAATCAGTAAGATCTGTTTGTTTTTCACCCCATGAAAAGGGGGCTGGGTTTGCCTCACTTTTACTTTGTGCCATCTCTGAGGACTGTGAGGAGTAGTTTGGAATAGAACCAGAGGCTGAACTGTGCTTTGCCATCATATTGTGCAGCAGCAGGAAAAAAAAATCATCCCTCTTACAGTGGCAATGACACAGCTGAGACAACTTCTCCAGAGCAGCAAGGTGTGCGGGATGCAATATCCAGTTTCCCGCCCCGCTCTGCTCCTTTGCTTCTCAGCTGACACAGGGAAGTGCCTTCCACTTGCTGTTCAACTTTCACTGCTGTATAGAATCAGGCTAGGGAAAAGGAGGGAGGCATGCAACAAAGTTGGATGCACCTCTTTCCCTGCAGCTATTTTCCCTTGACAGAATAGGTCTCTGCTGGCCTGGACAGGGAAATTGACAAAGGCAGACTAAAGGGCCTTATCACTGCTGAAGAGCCTACACATGCTGTGGTGATCACAGGCTCAGCACACCACTGGACTGCAGGCACTGCTGGCAGTTGCTAGCCCGGTGCCACACTGAGAGCAGGGTCACTTTGAACAGGTTTTTCTTATGGTTAATAGGGGTTTCCTGTACTTTGTGTCCATTGCTTCTGTCATTGTACACCACCAAGACGAGCCTGTCTTCTTCACTCACTTCATCAAATGTTTATACACAGGGATAACGTTCCCCATGGGCCTTCTCCAAGTTTCTCCTCATGTGAGAGATGCCCTAGTCCATTCATCACCCTCGTGTCCCTTTTCAGCACTTCCTCCAGTCTGTACAGTCTCTTGCACTGATGAGCCCTGGACTGGACCCAGCACTCCAGGCATGTCCTACCAGGGACACAGAAGAAAGACGAGCCCTTGACCTGCCAGCAACACTTCTCCTAATGCAGACCAAGAGGCTACTTACCATATTTGTTATGAGGGCAGATTACTGGGTCTTGGTCAGTTTAGTGTTCACCGGCCCCCCAGGATCCTTCCCTGCCAAACTGCGTTCCAGCTGGGAAAATGCACTCCTCTACATATACAGGCTGGTCTGCACCCTTCAATTGCAGGACTTTGCAATTCCCTGTATTCAACTTCATGAAGTTCCTCTTGGCATTATTCTCCAAACTATTGAGGGCCCTCGGAATGCGGCACAGCCCTCTGGTGTACAGACATGGCCATGCTACCCTGTGGAGCTTCCTGCTACTCCTGCCATTGGGCTTCTTTCAGCTTGTCAAATTCCTCAGCTTTCCTCAGCAGCTGTTTTCCAGTTACTCCATTAGTCCCAGGATCTCTAATCTTCAGATCCTCCCTACATCAGAGGGAGACGCCCAAACTCCAGCATCAGCTCTTTTGCTGGGTACTGTCTCTACAGAGCTATTCTTAACCCCTATTCCTGCTCCCCTCAAGCTCTATTACAGACTCATATTAAGTTCACAGTAGCTTTATACACAATAATACACATACATATGCTTATGCATGTCTCAATAATCAGGCCAAAGAGAGCAACGCAGTGAGCTCTAAGTCCATATGCTGGAGACGGTTTCTATTGCCCTATCAGACCTTAATTTTCTTCAGTGGCTGCCAAATTCTAACAAAGGCTCTTCAGTTCTCTTTTTAGAAGATGAAATTTTGCCTTGAACTGGCTTGGTGCTACTTACACATCCCTCCTGTCCCGGAGCGTCCCATCAGGAATCAGCTGAAGAACATGATGAAACCCATGAGTTGTCCAAGCCCGAAAATCTGACAGACAAGAATGAGCAGACCAGCTTAGCTGAAGAAAGGCCACCCACATGCCTGGTCTGATCCCACTGGTGTTGGTAAGAGGGTGGCCAGTTTTCATTAGCATAACATTTGGTCAACTTTTCTTGGTGTCACACTGGTGACACGAGGGTTGTGAGGAAGTTGGTGAGCTGGCAGTGATGGATCTTGCTCACCTCCTTACTCTTCTGTAAGCCTGCCACAGAATTCTACCTTGCAGTATGAAAACCAAACACATTTTTCTTCCTGAAGAGCTAGATCCCAAATAACTTCACTACACTTCTGCAAGAATATGTTTATTTTATTCATATTTGTATTCTGTCACTTCATCTGCTATGACTGGGTTGAAAAATAAACTTTTCTTTCAATGACCGTAAGAGTTAGTCTCTCTTCCCACACAATTCAATCACTGTTTAGCAACAAACAGAACTAAAAGAGCCTAAGACACACATGACATCATTAAAAAAAATTATTTAAATTCATTAAAATTTAATTAAAAAATTAAACACACCAAACAGCACTGATGCATGGAGGAGAAAAAGGAATCAACCTTTCTTAGAAAGGTGCATCTCCCTTAGATACTAACAAAATTAAGAAATCTATTGTGTGGGGAAGAGCAGGGAGGGTACATTTGCATATGCTTATACTTCCACATCCATATCCCCACTCAAACACACACACACACATTTAGGTACCTATCAATCTATCTATCTATCTATGCACGCAGGTACATACACAGACACAAAGATTAGACTGACAAGTAATTTATTTCTTTTCCCTCGGAGAATATTATTATAACTTTTAATTATATTAATTACATCTGCATTTAAAACAGGAAAACTTATTAAAACACAGAAAAGAAACTTTAAGAGCGCTAACTTATTTGGCTAAACCTTGGAAATCACTGTCTATTTAGCACAAAATACATGAAAAATTAACTTCTGATCATTTTAGATTTAAATGTATACCACTACCAGGTTCTTAGTGCTGATTTGGCTTGTTTTGCCCTTGAAATAGTCTCCATAATTATTTAAAATGTCTTCTATTAAAAATTTCTTACAATATATATGAAAAAATGTCTGAATACTGACCACTTGTCTATACTGGGTTCCCCAGTGTTATCCCCTTTCTAAAGCCCATAGAGCATATAATAGCAAGCATATCTTATATGTTTCTATAGTGCCTTCTGTTTTGCTGCTCTTGTAGATACCTCCTGCTCTTTTGCCTCTGGTTTCCTGGAGAGACAATGCACTGCTAATCCTCTCTCTTCAGAGGGCACAAGTGAGAGGTAGCCCTTCTGGAGGCACAGAGAGAGGTGAGAAAGGTACGTTTTGTAACAGCATTGTCCTTGGGGAAGCAAAAGGAACACTGAACAGCAGAAGGCCGGCCCTGAGACCTCAAGAACACGCAGAAAAGGTAAAAAGCAACAGGAAGGAATTGCTTTTTGTGAGAGGGCTCCAAAATGTGTAATTTATTCAGCATGAAGTACAAAAGTGCTAAAAGACTCTTTCAGTCTGCTGTTAATAGAGACTTGGTAATAATGGCTTCTCAATTACAAAGGGTACCCTTCTCTGTATCCTTTGCACAGATCTGGAATTTGTGATCGCTGGGGACAATGTTTCACCATTAGGTTTCTGCACATCTTGAGCTGTTGTCTGCAGGTCCCTGTAGAGTTACAAATTAACTGTTTTCTCCTCTTTCCCTGCCTTGTTCTTATTGAATCCATTGGTCAAGAGAATCAAATACCTTGTCAGGTGTAAGTTTTGCTGCTTAGAGATTGAGCTCTTGGAGAAAACTCTTAAGTTTTGTAAGTCCTCAACTTCTATAAAATTAGATAGAAAACATTAGTTTCATCCCACTATTTGATAGACCCTGGGACTCCATCCTTCATAAAACCTAAGGGAGGTTATGTTTAGATTTTTTTCATGTTACATTTGCCACTACAGTGACACTAACCTATGTTCACGTGAAGCAGAAGTTCATTACAAAATCTCTTATTACAGAGACAATCAAAGAAAGTTTAAAAGTCTTTAACCACTGAAGGCAATTCTGATATCACAGGAACCTTTCACACTGAAGTAATGATGAGTGTGGTCCCAGTCACCTGAAATGATCCTTCTTATAAGTGCCTTAAAGCTTAACACTAACACAACTCTAAAGGTAAGTACTAAAAAGACCACAACTTTTTAAGCGCGAAGAACAAAACCCAGTTGAAGGAAAAAAAAGATGATTAAAAAACTACAACAAACAATGAATCTAAATAATAACCTCTTTCTCCCTTCTCTCCCCCACCTTCCCCAATTCCAGAATCATATGGAACGCTGGAATCATTAGGGACATACAAAAATGACAAGATCTTGAAGAAAGACAAATAACAACCAAAACAGAATTCTGTCTGTTTGTGGTCCTGAGCAAATTACTGATGAAACTGGAATCACAAGATGCAAGAGGATGCTGCCCCTCTCTCTTCTATGGGAAAGGGTAATACGACACTTTTATGTAGTGATGCCACAGTCCAGACATTATTCTTATTGGGTTATCAAGTCCTAGAAGAAATGGTTCATGGCTTGAGATGGCCAGGTGGTGGTTGAATAACTCTGCTGTGGAAGGCATCTGCTGGGAGATGCTCCTAAGGCCAAACCCTGCCATTCAGAGGAATCAAACTCTATGTTCTTCCCAGTAGAATAACCCAGCAAAACAAGTAAATTTTGCACTCCTTTGCAGCTGGTTCAGTTCCTGCATTATAATGGCATTTTCCCAATACAGGAATTCTGATCATATCAAACACAAATCCTCTAAGGTTCAGTTCTGCATTTCCCTCCTTTGACTCATACAGTGTGCTGTACAAGAAAACAAAACATATGAGTTTATGAAAAACAGCTTAAAAAAAAAAAAGGATTTCAGCAGCGTCTTTTTGCATTCACTGGGAATGTAATTCTGCCTAATCTTCTTGCAGAGTGAGCTACAGTGAATAGACTCAAATCAGCATATACTAAATACTGTAATAAATGAAGAATAAATTGAGCATAAATTATGCATAAAATACCATGTTTTTCAATTTCACATATTTGCTTCTTCATGTTAATCTTTCAAATATCATGCTATCCAGCCATAAGAACACCAGATGGCAACTGTCCGCAGCAAAATTCAGGAGCACTGCGTCAGCTACAGCTCCATCTCGAGCAGTATCGCAGCCCAGGCACTTTGGAGGAGTTCAGGAAACCCTTTCTCATGCAACTGAAGTTGTAATTCCAGGCAATTGTCATCTACATGAACCAGTGGGCTATCTTCCAAATATAGAACATTTTCCATCTTCTTTAAAATGAGGCAACTGAGCTCAGCAGTAGCTGTGGCAATGAATTCCACAAACTGGTTACAACTTGCAAAAGTGCCAGCAGGCCAGAAGTTATCTGTGTGCACATTCCAATCCCCAAGAGAATTAACCTGATTGCAAAGACAACCAAAGGAGGTAGGAACACTTAGGTCCATCCCCTTGAAACCAAAGGATAAAGTCTTTTGCATAATTCTAAAGATGCAGGAAAGCTCCACCATGGCTACACTAAATGTTCACAGACAAAAGCACTTTTCCCCAGCAAGGATGTGATCACTTATAGTTACAAGCCCAGATTTAAGCAAGCAGGCAAGTAAATCAGAATGTGCTACAACATGAGCTAGAAAAGGTTTGCTGCTATTCTTTAGTGTCTGCTACCCCTCTGTGTCAAATGTTCCGATCATCACTGGATATTCCACGAGATTTTCTTCTGATGTTGTTTCAGAGGATGTAAACATACCTAACTCGGTTGAGAAGGCAGCAACAGGGTTCAGCACTTACTCAGAAAAAGTAATCTTTCACAATAACACAAGTGTGCAAAATTCCTTACAAGGCACAAAATATATAGGTGTGTTCCGCTGGATTCACATTTATTCAGTAGTATCTCTCTTGTGATCCCTTTGTTAAGTATCACTTCTTTTTTTTTTTTTTTTTTTCCAGAAGAAAGCCTCTTCTATTTGGCATAGAAGATTTGATTTACTGCAACAGATCCTTCCAGGCTGTCCATACATGTATTGATTAAGTTGATTGAGTTCTGGAAAAAAAAATTATGTTAGTCCAGAATGGAAAGCAAGTCACACTGCTGGACACTGCTTAGTGCAACAGAGACTGTCAATTATTCCCCCCTGCTCTACCCTTTATACTACTCACCTTTGCTCTATCTTCCGCCAAGTTACAAAAATTAAATTTCTTTTTCTCTGAAAAGATGAAACTTTAGGGTGATTGAGAAGGATCCTGTTTCTAAGGGAACAGAAGGCTATGAAATTACATGACAGATTGGTGTATTCATAGAGCACTTCAGGAAAATGCTGACTACAGCTCTTTTTAATGTAGAGATACTGAGCAGATTTGCTGTCAGTCACAGCACTGCATAGCTACATCTGGATTCCTGCTCATGTAATTGAGATCGAAAACTCTCCCATTGTCATTCAATTACAAGTCACAATGAAACAGAAACTGACTGATCAGCTGAGGGACATGGCTGTCTTCCTGGAAACACAAGGCTCATTGGCATTTGGGAATGGGGGCCAAGCCCTGGGTGGCCTGGTGCAGGGTGGGGGGCATTAAAGGCTAAGTCTTTTTCAATTCCAGAACATCTTAATAGTCTGCTGCAGCTAGAAAAGCAAGCATATACCAAGAAACAATGGAAAAAGAAAGTAAGATTGCAGCTAACAATACAGTTTCATTTCCAAACAACTAATCTGGAGGTCGGCCCAGGGACCTGAATTTCAATAAAGCTTTAGCAGCAGGAGTACTGCCATTGTTTGTGGTTGAAGAGGTTCTTATCCCTAATACAGGAGCTAGAACTAATACGATTTTTCTTTTTCTCAATAATCCATGTTGTTCAGATGAGGTTCTTAGCAGCATCTTCAGGGTTAAGAACACTGACAGTGGAAGGAAGCAAATAACTGTGCCCAACTTCCAGGGATTAACAAGCAGGCTCAGTGCATGAGGGCTGTCACATTCTTGAACTCTGCAGTAGGAAGGAAATTGGACTTTTCTTCAGTGGGCAGTTTTTAGTGACACATCCTGGCTGTCATCTCTTTCTGTAAAACAAGAAGGAGAAATAAAAAAGGAAATGGCATTTGTGATAAAGTGTGCACAGGTCTCTTCCCTGTCTGTATTTCTGCATCTCTGAAAATCCAAGTGGTTTCATATGCCACCATGGTTCTGCCCCTCTCTGTCACTTTCAAGGACAATGAAAATAACCGGTAATCAGCATATAGCTTTAATAACCTAATAAATCCCTAGCCATGTCAGGTAAAAGGTGCTGCATCCCCCACAAAAGAAATAAATCATCTGCAAATGTCAGAAACCTTTTAATTTAATATAAGAAAAAGGATTCCAATCATTCTCATTGAACCTGTTGCCAACATGAACCCTAGATATACCTTCTTTGCCTAGTTATTTCTGCCTACACGTGGACAGAACGGGTACAAGGGGCACAAATCTTCTTGAGGACTTGATCAGAACTGTGACTTTCATCTCTAGGATGGGGTCTTGAATCATTCACTGACTCCATTAGGAACTGGGGTTTAGGATCCACATAGGATTTTATTTGATCTGATTTACAGGGACTCAAACTCTCTGATACCTGTCTGGCTCCATTCTGTAAAACTTCATATTTGTCAGCAGATTTTCTGGAAAGACATTATGAGATGTCTGACCAACAGCCACCCACATAAACCACACCACACAGCATTTCCCTTGGAAAACCTATTTAGAGTTACAAAGTTATTGGAAGTGTCTGAAAATTTCTTAGATTGCTTGAATAATTTGTTATCATGTAAAAGATAATTAAGATCTAACACAAACAGCTTTGTGACAGTGTTGTAACTGTATTTTACCATGTGTTTAGCAGATTATTTCTCCATCTAAAATCCTACACAGAACTGTAGGATTCCCACCCCTCCACTTGCTTCCAGGCCTTTAACTAGTTTTTCTTTCTTGTAGATTAACCTTGCATTACTTGCTATTTACATATAACAGAATGGAATGTTGTCATTTGTTAAAAAGACATGGTAATTAGTACAGTAATTTATACAGTAGTGTGTGATCGCCACAGTAAGCTGAATCAGTAGTTGATTCTCCTGTAATTTGTCAAAGGTCACAAAGGTGACTAATTCATGGAAAAATCTGTCTCCTTTTGTCCTTAAATCTTTGGGGGAGGGAGGCTGGGTTGTTTTGTTTTTCTTTCAAACAGCTGCACTTAGGCTTACTTCTTCAGAACAACAAACACCAAATGCAGAACTTAATGTAACAGCACAATGTTGGACAGCTTCCTATTGTTTTATACATAAGCAGATACAAAACGCCTCCCTGTCTTCTTTGTTTAGGAGATCAGAAAAGGCAACTATGCTAGGAAACAGTGACGGCCAACACATAATAATACACTGTTGCATCAACACAGGCCAACCACCACCAACCAAAGTAGGCGTCTAGAAGCTGAAATCCATCAGGACTCAGTTTGATGTGAAACCACTGTGAAGCTCTTCCTGGGAAGGGCGGGGCAGGGCAGGCCACAGGCAGTGACCACAAGCTCTGATGTGGTTTGACACCACGCAGAAGCTCCACTGACAGGGCCTGACACCGTTTTCAAAGCTGGTTTCCCCAGTGGACGATGCTAGGTGATGCCCAGTGGTCTGCACTCAGAGCTGCAGGGTGGTGCCAGGGTTTTTGTTACAGGCTGAGGTGGCACATTTCAGGGACTGTGCAGCACCTTCCTCCTGCAACTAGAGAGGAGTTGAAATATGCTCAGGAAGTATTTATTGCCACGATCTGTGTTTTCTTCACTGATTTTAAATTATTAGTTTTTCTTTTCCCCCCCCTTACCTAAAGATTAATTAGATGTTAATGCTTTTTGATTTTGCATTTTTTATCTTTGCAGGCCCCTAAATTTACACATACTCAGTGTTTGCATGTCTATAGTGTACTACCTAAGACTACCTTGCTGATAGATTTGTGAGGTAAAACACTACAACTTCTTTCTGCAACTGCTGCTGAACAGCTATTTGCAGTCAGGTAGTAGCATCTTATCCTGTTAGAAAAGCAGCACTGAGAGTATGTGGACTGTACCAGAGTTATTAAAAGCCGGGCCATACTCGTTCAGGCACAGTGGGAGGCAAACTGCAATAGCATCAGAGGCAGGAGTTTAGATACGGATGAATGGCTCCAGGAAAAGGAAAGACTAGGAGCCTAGATGATCTATGCATAAGATGTTAACTAGATAGCTTTAAACCAGTTTGCCAAGAGAGTCATGAAGCAGGAACCCATCATGCCATTCCAACTTTTCTGTAGAAGCAAAATTTATTTTTTATAGTAATAAAAATTATCTCCAAGCCTCTCTCTCCCTTAATTTCTGGATTTTTGTTCGGTTATACAGTTACAGCCACAGTCTTCTTCATAAATCCTATTTCCCCACCCTATCAGGAGAACATTGCTGCAAACAGCCCTGCAAGTTTCCCTCTGCTTCTACCTAACAGGCCTTCTGTCCCAACAGCTGCTTGGCTACTGTTTTGGAAATGCTGTAAAACCAGAAATATGTTAAAACTTACAAAATATCGACATCTCTTTTCTGTATTGACCTATACTGTTACTGGTTAATGAAGGACACAGAAGTACAATTGCATTGCATTTCTGCATATATATGTGCTTGAGCTTTCAGTGATTTCAGCCAATGACAGTGAACTACATGAGATTTAAAGAAAAAAAAAAGCCCATGATACTTGTGGTAGTAAATCAGTACAAGCTTTGTGAGAGTGACCTACTTCCACTTGTTATTTTTCTCGGAGGAATTTAGAACAGAGAAGAAGAACAAACAGGAAATGGTTTCTCAAAGAGAATGATATAATTATGACACTGGTGAAGAAAAAGCTTCACTCAAAATGCTGGTGAGAATGAGAGGAAGGGTCATACCCCCATTACCAACCTCGTCTGGGCAGCAGCATAAGGCATGCTGTGTGCTGCAGAGCCTACTGCTGAGCCTCTCACAGAGCAAACTGCTCCTACTTGCCAAACTCTGCCCCCTCTGAGAGATTTACCTTCAAAAATTAATCACCCAGTCTTCACAGAGCCTGCTGGAATATCTCTCACTGATTCTGATAGGCACCAGGGATCTTCACACAAAGTTCCACTCCACTTAGTGGAAAAGTGTCCCTCAAACCTCCACAGAGATCTAGCTCCTTAGTTATTCTGGTCTGGTGAAATACCAGACACTACAGAGTATACTTCTATATTGTTATGCCTTAAAATCTATATTATATAAAATTGTAGTGTAACTCGCTATTACTTTTAGTTTGCCAAGTACCTTTGTATTAGATTCCTAAAATGCTGTTTAACATTTCTTGTCAAGATTTCAGCAAGGTGAAAACCACCTTATCTATAGAAATGTACACAGAATAAGACATAACAGGGTCACACACCACTTGATATAAGACAAAACTACTCAGAGGCCTTGAAGCTGTTCCAAGGAGGACATGCACAGTGAAGAGGATGAGGGTTGGAGGAAGGGGTGGCTGTTTTCAGACCACTGACTGAAATTCAGGAGGTGTGTCAAGGGTGGTCCAGTGGGTGGGACAGTTTTGGGGACGGGTGTAACCAATGAGGTAATGTCCAGGTATTGTAATTAGATGGTACTATAAAATTGTAAAGGCCTATACTGTCAGGGGGCGCAATATATTTTGTGCATCTACAGTGCCTCAGTTAAAGAAAGTTTTTGCTTTTCTATCTCAAAATTGTCCAGAGAATTATTTCTCAGATTTTAGGCAACAATTGCTTCATTAAGACTTTTCCTGCTCTAAATTTTGGATTACAGACTTACTTCAAAAAATACAGGCAGAAGTAAATGCTGTTTTTCAAATCCAAAATCAAAAGAGAAATCTGGACCCATTCTATGTGCTGAATATGCCCAAGACCAGCAACTGAGGAGAATTTAACACAGAACTAACTTCTAAGAAATGCAAAGAGAAACTTGTGCTATTCTTTGACAAGTCCTTGAAGTATTTACTTACTTGCTGAAGTTAATGCTAACAAGCCACTTTGTAAGCACCAGAAATTTATCTGTTTTTTTAGTATTTATGATTTCCTGGAAGGATGCCTTCCTGAGTATTTTTCAGGGAGTACCAAGGTGATCTCACAGATGAAGGGAAAAAAGCAACGCAGTCCTAAAAGGGTGATCAATCTTTATCTCTGATGGATGTCTACTCCACTCCATAATGCTCCAACATGCATCTCAGATAATTTCAGCATATACATCTATATCTAACTATTTTAATTTCTGTTCCTCAGTTCACCTTTAAATGCGGCAGGAAAAGAATGGAAAAAATCCAACATCTTACAGCATAAATGAGTAGCTGAAGAAATCTTTTTCCCGTGACATACCTACTTGTGAGGAGATGATTGAATCTGAATGGGTTACTTGAAGAATGAGCTCCCAGTAGACAATGACATTCTTCTAAGAAAACTGTGTTTCTGTGCTTATGTGAGTCAAATATAAAACTGGCAAAACGTAAGTCAAAAAACCTCCAAACAGACATTGCCTTTGTACCAGTATTTAATAGCAGCCAGGGGTCTGTCCTGTGCAAAAGCTGATGGGAAAGTGGGTGAAGTGACACGAGTAAATAGTATAAATAATAGTATTCTATAAGAACACCAGAAATAATAATAAATGCAATAATGACCTTCACTAAAACCAGGGTTGCTTTAAACACTCGAATTCTCCTTCATCTGTGTCCCATCCTCACCTCCAGTACCCCAAACTGAAGTAAAGCATGGCTTGACATTCCCCCTCCTCAGCTCCTTCTGGTGCCAGTAAGCAAGCCTAAGGGTGATGGGGAAAGAGCTTATTTTAACCCTTTGACAACTGTTTTGAACAGTGAGGTTTCAAGATGTATACACCAGTGTGTCAGCAGACAAGTGGTTAAAGTATTAGCTCCTGACAGGCAGGGATACCCAGCCCAAGTAGGGTTTTTTCCCAAGCATCCATTAGCTTGGAAGACCTGACCAACTGGCCAACAGCAAGGAGATGCCAGCAGTGGACACCATGCCAAATTCACTTGCCCAGCTTACTGAATTAGAGAAAACAACCCTCCCCAGGTAGCCACTCATGTCTTCAAACACTGCAACTAAAGAAAAAGTGCCCAGCCTTAACCACACTCTTATGGTTAAGGAACTTATTATAATATGTGCAACAATCCTGTGGATAAATACACAACGCTGGGCAGGAAGGCAATACACAAACAGCCCTTCTGATCTCAGGTTTAAGATTAGAAGGCTCTGCTGAGCAGATACAAGCATCACTGGGACATTCCTTTCTCCCTTCTACCCTCATCAACAGAAAAGCAAGACACAGCTACAGGGAATTCCATATATACACACAGAGAGGTCCAGTGATGTACCAGTGGTGCTAGTTTACAGTTTTTTCGTAGTTCAAATCAGAACTGCAGAATAAGTACATGAAGAATAAAAAGGTTTGTTCTTCAAAGCGCAAACGGCTATGAATTCTGCAGCTTTTTTTGCTGTTTTCTTCACAAAGATTTCAACAATTGACAAGTAATTATAATGTGAACAAAGCCCTTTGTATCCTGATGACAAAAGAGGCTGTTTTCTATGGAATAGAAGAGATCATGAGGCCTATGGTCCCATTCTGTGGAATCAATCTATATTTAGACAGCTAATTGACCAGCCTAGGAAGGCTGAAACCAGAACTGTAGCAGGAAAGTCATCTACAAAACTTCTTTTTTTCCCATGGAATTTTCAGTTACAACCATGCCCTGAGTATTCATTTAGAAATTGGAATCTTCAAAGTTACTAAAAAACTATGCTTCTTTTGTTGCTCCTGACTGAAAAAACACCCAACACACTGGTATTTGCTATCCAGTGGATATATTGATCATTTGAGTACTTTTTTTTTAGGCTTCAGGAATGACTTCCATTTGAATGAGTCTAATTATTACGATGCACAGGATTAAATTCTCAGACATTCTCTTTGGCTTCAGGATAGTTATTTTGAAGCTAAGGACAGCCTGACAATAATCCTATTTGATTTCTCCTGAATTTGTATGGTGATGTTTGCAGGACATAGATAATACTCCTGTCTGCAAATGTAACTCATAATCACTGATGTAAAAGGCATTTTATCAGTTGATTGCAAGCAGGAACAGGATCAGGAAATCACACCGCCAAATACACCTCTGAGTAGGGTTAGATCCAGGTAGATACAAAAAACGTGTATTTGGATGACTGACTTGCTTAACTAACTTGCTTAAAGGAAACATATTCCAAGGAGGTATTTTCACCTTCTGCATGCTTTTGTCTTCTGTAACAATAAAATAAAAGCTGGTTTTAGTGTATCTTACCCTATTACAAGGACTTTAAATGTATTGCTTTTTGCATTGAGGTAATGCAGAGTGAATAAGCAAATAGTAAAATGGTATCATGGAAGTTTACAGAAAATTTATCAGGAGACATGTTAGTTCTCTACTACGAACTACAGTTTTGTTGCATACAGTAGGTGTTTTGCATAAATGATTTTATACACTAACAGATCTATTTAAATGCAGCAATAAATACATCTTTTCTTTTTCTTTTTTTTTCCTTTTACAGAACTGCAAAGTTATGTGACAGTAGATTTTTTTTTCTTTTGATAGTTAAAAAAACTGGACTTGCTGTTTCTTAGTTTTATGGTTTGTTTGGGTCTAGAAAGAATAATAACAGCCCAATACAACACTGAATAAAACTAACAGAGTCACTCAATAAGTACTGATCAAATGAAGAAAATACATTTTTGAAACTTCTTCTTAATTATGTCTTTACAATTGCCTTCTGATGACAGCTAAGAAAAGAGGAGGAGGGGAGGGGATAAAAGCAAGAAAGGAAGCAAGCAAGCGAGAAAGAAAGGAAGAAAGAAAGAAGGAAAGAAAGAATGAAGGAAAGAAGGAAGAAAAGAAGGAAGGAAAGAAGGAAGGAAGGAAAAAAGGAAGGAAGGAAAGAAGGAAGTAAAGTAAAACAAAAGGAGAAAAGAAAAAAGAAAAGAAAAGAAAAGAAAAGAAAAGAAAAGAAAAGAAAAGGAAAGGAAAGGAAAGGAAAGGAAAGGAAAGGAAAGGAAAGGAAAGGAAAGGAAAGGAAAGGAAAGGAAAGGAAAGG